CACCATTAACATCAGAAAATCTGATACGCTAGAAATAATTCTGAAAACCTCAGTTCTTGGGGCCTCCCTGGTGGCTCAAGGGGTTAAGACATAGCACTATAAAGCTATCCACAGCCACTGCAGCATGAGTTTGACCCCCAGCCAGGGAGCAACTCACCTCTCCTGTCTCGCCCGCTGCTCCCCTCAGCAGTGTATTTCAGCGGATCTGCCTGTTCTGTTCCCCACTCTGTCTGTGGTGAATCCTCTCACCCCCCCTCCACACCTCTGACCCGTACCCCACTTTTTGTATGCATAAATAAATAAATCTTTAAAAAAAAAAAACCCTCAATTCTCTTACATATAAAACAAAGATACTGAGTATCTCTGCCTCCCAGGGTTGATGCGGATTAACTGGCCTAACAGTTATAATCTGTTTAGGGCAGTGACTGATTCATATGTATATGTGTATGTGTATATGTATGTATATGTATATGTATATATATTAAGTTCTGGACTTTAATCTGCACAAGCCAGGTCACTTTTTTCAGCAATGGCAGATCTGCCTGCCAGCAGACCTGCCTCTGATTATGACTCAGTGACTCTCCCCCAGAGCCACCAGCTGGAGTCACCTGGGAGAGGAGAGTAAAAATACTGTTTCTGGGCCACACCACAGAGACTTTGATATAAGTGGCCTGGGGATCAGCCTGACATCAGGACTTTTAAAATCTCTCCAAATGATCTGGCTATGTAGCCAGGGTGGAGAACCAGTTGTTTCTGCCAAAACCCATGCCTAGGTCCCCAAGAGACAGTGGTAACAAATTGATCCACCACCATTACATCATTTTGGTGGCTTTCTGCCTGGGCGCGGCTGGGGAAGCCAACACAAGTGAAAGGAATACCTTAATCTAATGTCCTCACACTTCCTGTATTGGTCTTTCCAAATCACTTCCCCTTTGGCTTTTACTGCACTGCTCTTTTTTCTTTCAATAAACATCACTCACAACCACTATCAGTTCTCTAACCTGCTGTCCTCCCTTTGTGAGCAAAGTCCAAACCACACATGATCTCATTTTCAGTGAAGAAGGCCTTTGCTCCTTAAGGCAAATCAGACCCCTACAGATACAGAAAGGTCCTTGCCACAGAATCCATATCATTATTGAAGCCAATGTGTTTAGAGCAATTTTCAGCTGACCAAGTGCTTTTCACCTGTTGGCTCCTGTGGCCTCCTCCCAGCAAGTCTATGGTGACAGGATTTCCCTTACCAGGGTGGCCACACTTCCTGATTTGTCCTCAGTCAACCCAGGTGATACCTGTCCCAGCTTAATGATGGCTGGCACTCCCTTCCTCTTTCACACCAAATGCTTTAATTTGGACAACAAATTACAAGGTCACCTTATCTATAACCATGCTCTGCTCTTGGGATTTTTTAAATTTAATTTTTCATTGAGGTAACATTAGTTTACAACATTGTATAAGCTTGAGGAGTAGGACTTCCCACTTTGACAGCTGTCACTACCACATCATACCCACCACCAAAGGTCTAGTTAGCATCCACCACCAGCCAATTGACCACTTTTGTCAGCAGTTGAGGATCACAGAAGTTAATTTATTCAATCATTCATCTAATTAGAGACAAAAGCGAGAATTGAACTGAGGCCCTGTGTTTGCAAAGCTCTGCCCACTCCATGTTATCATGGAACATTAGAATCAGAACTGATAAACTCAAATCTTTCTTATTCCAGATAAAGAAATTAAAGGTGCATAAAAGTCACTATTAAAATGTTCCCTGGAAGGGTCTTTGGAATGCAGAGCATCGTAGGAACACAGTGGAATGGATTATAAGTTATCAATATTTGTCATCTTTGATAGCACTGGAGAGCCTAACTAGACAAAAGAAGGTACAAGGGCTGACATATGGGCTTTTGAGAAAGAGTGAGAAATTTAGACTAGACTGACAGATTTGAGGACTGGACCTGAATGTTGCATACAGTCCACTTGAGGATATTTCACATACCTTCTCTGAGCACAAGTGTTGTTCAGTCAGAGAATGGGATTAATCATCATTCTCACTCCCCTGGGTGGTTAAAGAAGAGCAAACTACAGCTCATGGGAGTGTTCTGACAGCACCAAGAGGCATCAGATCCCGGTGAGTCATTTATTTATTTCCTTCATTTTTCACACGAGTGAACCAAGGCTCAGGAACAAGAATACTGTGAAGCAAATGGGATGGTATTGGGTTGTGCTTCCTAAGTCCTGAAATGCTGCCATTTATTATTTTCACTAGTAGCGGCAGTAGCAACAGAAATGATTATCAGTAGATGTAGACAGAATCATCATGTCCTTGAAACTCCCTGGGGAACCAAGGGTTTGAATGACACCCCCAGTAGACAGCCTGTGTTGGGAAGGGGTCCTTTTGTGGGAGTGGACAATCTTTACTTCTTCTTTTTTTCTTTGATTGATTTATTTATTTATACAAGCACTGGGTACAGTCAGAAGCATGGGAGGGTGAGAGAATTCACCAGAGCCAGAGCAGGGAACAGAACAGGCAGACCGACAAAGTACACTGCTGAGGGGCGCAGCGGGAACTGCAGGAGAGGTCTGCGTGCCATGTGGGACCCTCCCCAGCGGCTGGGGATCAAACCAGAGCTGCAGAGGCTGCACCACCAGGGGAGGCCCAATCTTTACTTCTTACTGGGTGGATCCCAGCCTGAAGGGAAGGCTTTCTACAAACCAACCCCTTGCCTTGCAGAAAGCACCTCAGTTACCTGACACCACCACCAAGAAGGCAGTTCCTTTTCAGGGAATCACATAATGAAATGACAAACTTTGGAAATGCCTGATTCTGTAAATCAGGACATTGCTTCCATAAAACATAAATAGTTCAAAGGCTCGGCAACATCTTTATTTCAGAATATTTTCAGCCTTGACTTGTTCCTGTAAATGATGACTACTAACCAGAAACACAAAAGGGAGCAAGGGAATCAAAGAGCTTTGCTATCTCTGATTTTTCTTCCCCCATCAATCTAGTTTCTGAGTTAACCATGGATGCCTATCTGGCTCTCATGGATTGCTTTACTTTAGGGAAAAAACAAATGACAGTACAGCCACTTTAGAATTCTTTGAGGGGATTGGGGGCTGTGCAGTGAGCTTTTGTGCAAATGGAGAAAACTTTCAAAGCTGCCAACACCAAATTCCAAAGGTGCAGGTAGAATGGTGTCCATGCCTAAGAGTGGGGCAAAGGGCTCCTTTGGCTCCAAAGGGTTGATTTGTTTCAAATATCTTTAAGGAACTTGACACTGTGAAACTACCTGCTCTCAGGGAATCTGAGAAAGTCCTAGAATAGCTTTCTTCAAGGAGAGCAGAAGACTTAAGGCTTTGTTAAAGCTCTCCCTATTCATTCCCTGGACTGCAGGCTTGGATGCTGAGCTTCAGGGAACCCCCTTCCTGGCCCTCCTTTCAACACTGCACAGCCTGGGTCTGGGTGACAGGGAGACATGACCTCTCGCATTACCTGGGCCTGTCAAAGGACTTGGAAATCCTGCCTGAGGGTGACAAAAACCACATTTGAGAAGAGAAAACCAGACAAAGGAAAACCAGTGTCACTAAATGACACATGTCATTTCTATGGATAATTTGGAAAAAGTAACACAAAGAACATGACACTCAGATGAAGAAATTTAACAAACCTTGTGGCAGGATGGGCCAATTGGGACAGATTACTTCCCAAGTATAAAAGAAGTCACAATTAATTTATTAATTTTTAGACATCAGCAGGTACCAAAGCCAAAAGGCTATTATCAAGGCATATATAGATCTTAAATTTTTTTTTCAAAAATCTATTTAATTAGCTTGTAGATAATTAAGGGGACAAAACAACAACTTTCCCATTCCAGGGAACATATCTGCCTTTTAAATTCAGCCACAAGGTCCATGAAGGACTCAGTCCTCCCAGTAACCTGCATATTTCTAGGGAAATTGCATTCTGAGGTTCTTCCCCCCTTTGTGAAAGGTCTGGGTGCTGGGGCAGCCTGGGAGCTCCCCTCCCCCAAGTCCTGGCCACTCTTTCTGCATGGCCCTGGAGGCAATTCTCCTGACGCCTCAGGTTTCTCTGCCTCTGTGGTGTCTGAAGCAGAAGAGGACTGATCAAATGTTTCTTTCTTATTACACCAGAGGACCTACCAGGAAATGCTGCCTTACCTCCATCCTTCCTCCTACAGGTTAGAAATGAAGGGCAGCAGCTTTGACAATAGACTGTTCCTGCACCCCCAGAAGCAAGGCCACTTCATTTAATTTTGCACTGTTCCCCTTCATCCCAGTCTGCCCCAGGTGAACCAATTTTTCCCTGTGGCAACAGTTAGCATTTCCAGATACTACCCTGCGGGATCCAGGCTTTGACAATAGTAATAATGTCTGAACAAAGTGTTTGTTTCTGCTTTTCAGATCACAATGCAAGAAAACATCTTTGTTTCCTTTGCTTTTTCGTTTAGTAGCTCTGAATTAAAGCCAGGCAAAGGGGATTTTAACAACTGTTATTTTTGCTTTGCCAATGAAATTTGTCTGAAGATTCCCTTTTCTCCCCCTTCTCTCTTCTCCCCTACCAAGCCCCCTGCTCCCTGTCCAGCCCATTTCCGAAGAAAAGGTTCGAGGGTCCAGCCAGGTTCTTCCCAGGTCCCTACACCTGAAAATGCCCTTTACGACAAGGCCAAAGTGCCGAGGAGGAGCCGCTTAGACATCCGCCACCGGGACTGCCTGTCCTGCCGCGGGTTCGACGAACTGCCCACCAACTCTCCAAACACACAGACACCTGCCAGATTTCACCTGCCTCCCTCCTGCCCGGGAGCCCCCGAGCGAGGCCCTGCCTTGCAGACGGCCACCCAGGGGACCGCAGGGCTGAGCCGCCCTCCCTGGGGAGCGTCCAGCGTCCCAGCGCGATCCGCACCGGAGCACGTGAGCTCGAGCCTCCCCGAGCCGCGCTGCAGGCGCAGCAGGTGCAGTGCGCGGGCGCCAGGGTGCCGACCTACCTTCACGAAGAGTTCTATCTCCGGGTCCCTGCCGTCCCCGTTAGCCATCGCCGCGTCCGTCATGCCGTCGGCGCCCGGGGCCACCGTTCCGATCCGTGGAGGCGCCACCTCTGCGGCTCCCGGGCCAGCGCTCCGCGCTCCTGCTCCTACCCAGCGGGGCCCCTACCCAGCGAGGCGCTTATTTATTTATTTATTTATTTATTTAAATCTGTTTCTCGAGCCGGGGACAGAGGCGTCTAAGAGATCGGCGTCCCGGGTGATCGCATGGAAAGGACAGAAGCCAGCTGGGGACAGGGGACGCGGGGGCAAGGTGGGTTCGGGGATGGCAGCCGGTCCCGGGAGCAACAAGTGCCGGGCTGCGGGGAGGTGTCACAGGATCCTGTCAGCGATCCCGCAGCCTCCGCCAACGCGCCCAAAATAGCCAGAGGCCGTGGGGCGGGGTCAGCCCAGGCTGGGTCGGGAGGGGCACCCCGCGAGCACCCTGCAAGGCTGTGGCCGGGCCCCCGCCCCGTGTGACCCTGGCGGGCGGGAGGCGCCGACCCCAACCGGCCAGGTACAGCCACTCAGGAAGAGAGGGTGTCCTGGGAAAGGTGGGGAGGGGCGGGGGAGGGGAAAAGGGAAAGAGAAAGAAGAGGGAAGGAGGAGGGAGTTGAGGGAGAGGTGCACAGGCAAAGGGAGAGGTCAAGAGGGAGAGATGACTTTAGGTCTTATGTTTCATTAACGAATCTTTGGCTCCTCCAAGTTGCTCTACTACCAGCATTTCCCACTGGGAAAGCGCCATCCTGCTTTAGCAATGCTCAGAGTGGAGAGGCGCTGTGGGGAGCTGGGGAGTGGAAGAAAGGACCCCTTAAACAGGGCAGGGGGAAGCTGGAGTGGTCAGTATGGTAGAGGGGTGAACCAACCAGGTCAGACGCACCCCAAAGCAAAGGACCTTGTCTTTTAAACTTCTGGGTTTGTTTTTGTTTGCTTGTCTGTTCTAAATTCAGAATAGTTCAGATTTTTGTTGTTGTTAAGTTCTATTTATTGAGGTAATGTTGTTTTACATCACGGTATATGTCTTAGGGGTATAGGTTTATACCTCTACACACCTGTTATTTCACCACACCCACCACTGAAGCCCCAGGAATCCTCCATTAGACCCCCTGGCCCCTTTGCTCCCACCCTACCATATGCCCACTCTGGTCGCCTTACTCATAGTCCAATGTGCTCCTCCCCCTGCTGTTTTTACCTTTCCCATCCCCTCCTGGATGCCTCATATCTAAGGTCAGTTTTCAAGGTTCATATTTTTCTGAACTTTCTTTTTGGTTTCTCTATATTCCACTTATAGAAATCATCTGGATTCTCCCGCCCCCCAACCCCCCGGCCTTACCCTTCCGTCATTTTTCTCTGCTTTTTTTCTTTTGCTTACTTTTCTTTTCTGTCTTATTATTTCACGTCTATCCTTCTCTTTGGTTTCTAGTGAAGCATAATACACACAGAAAAAAAATACGCACCTAGGTAGTTGAATGAATTTTTACAACCTGAACCCACCTATGAAACCAGCACCAGATAAGGAAATAAAACGTTAGCTACATCCTGGTCACAGAAACTACTCCTGGTCACTCGTTTCTATCTCCTTTCACTAGCATCACTCTCCTAGACCAGAATAACCTTTACCCCTACTTGTAATAGCACAAGTTAGTTTTGCTTGAAATCTTAGAGTAAATACAGTTTATATTCCTTGGCTTCTAGCCACTTTGGTTGACCGTTAGGGTTTGTGACATTTATCCATTCTTCTGTGTAGTTGTAAATCATCTATTTTCACTACCATGATATATTTATCCATTTTTCTCTTGAACATGTGTATAGTTTTCAGTTAAAGACTACCATGGATACTGCTGCTATGAACATTCTATCTTTTATACATCCTTTGGTATTTTGTGGACATTTTAATGTGGACTATAGCCTCAGGAATGTAATTGTTAGGTTACAAAGTATGAGAATTGTCTTCTGGAGTTAACACTGGCAGGTAGAGGATTTTCCAAAGTGATTCCACCAATCTAGATTTCCAACTTTCACTACTTTCAAAAATAGGCAATAAATCTTTTGCCTCTAGATTCTGGACAATTTCTGTTTATTTTTGGCTTCTTTTTAGCTAATTATATTTGTGTTCTGTTTTACCTTACTTGCAAATACATATTTGTTTCACAGCTTTACAAAAAATAATAAAACACTAAACAATAAAAATATTTATTATGTATCAAGTAAAAATGCTAACCATTCTACATGCCCTAACTTGTTTAATATATAAAGATTGCAAAAATAGTGTTATCATATAACTGAGGAAATTGGGACATAAAGTATTTAAATAACTTGCCCTTAGTCATTCAGCTAGGAAATGGTGGAGTCAAGATTTGAGCCCAAACAGACTGAGCCTCTGCTCTCAATTACTCCACTAAGTGCCTCTCTCAAACTTAATACACACTGGGTAAGTCAGTTTAGGGAAATAAAGACCCTGCTCTAGTCTTTATAGAGATTAAAATCATTTCAGGATAATACTCACATGAAAGGAACACTATGAATTGGGGAGAGGAAGGGGATATATAAGTTAGTGTGGAGAGACATTATTCACCACATTTGGAGTAGGTAGAGGAAAAGGCCTGCTAAAGCAGAAGAAGGTGCTTCAGCTGAATCTTCCCAAATGTTTAGGAAGCTGATAAGCAGATAAGACAAGGTATTCTGGCTACCTTTTGTTGTTTCCCCACAACTGCCAAATGCAAATGTCTCCTTTTCACTGTGAAAAAAAGCCACCAATCCAACTTGCAACCATTATGGCACACCATAGGTTAATCAAAGTGAGGCACAATTACTCTCCCCCTCTCCTCCTTAGTTTTGGGCTTACATCACCAAAGCCTTCAGAGAAACAGTCACCTTCACAGCTGCACATTCCGAGCCAATGACTACATATTCTGGGAAGGACAAGGTTACAGAGGGAGACTGGTACCTTTACCACATGCTGCACAGACTCATCACTTCCCTGCTATAAAGTGTGGATAATATTTATGATAGCAGTGTAGCAGAGATAAAGAAAATTATATACATATGCCTTTTATGAAAAATGAAAGATGCTTTACACTTGTGATCATTTTCTTAGCTATGATTTAAAACAATGATCTCAATTTTCTTTAGTCTACACCTAGCAGAGTTAGTTTTCATTTTATCTACTGTTTACTGGAAAATGAAACTTCCTTTTCAATTTCTAGATAATAGCTCCCATTTGAACACCATTGCAGATAACTGATAGTTTAGATATTATAAACCTTCAAGTTGAAAGTAGTCTGTTTTGGTGACAAAACATTTCTGTGCATTTTTCTAGTTTAAGAAAAAAGACTTCATTTTATGTCCTCTAATGTCAAAGTATAATTAGCTAGAATCACTTCTAACTTTGTCCAGAGAAAAATACTTTCTTGTTCATTATTATACTTTTAATAATCATCATTTCACAAGTTTGGCACAAGTTTTAGGTAAATATTTACCGGGAAGGTATTTCAGAAACATATTTAGTACTTGAGAGCACACATACTAAACTTGGGACAATACAGAAAATATTAACATAGTTCTAATAAAAGGATTACACACAAATCTATGTAATATCCATGCTTTTATATGGCTGTTAAAAAAATTACAACATGTGTGTGGTAATAACAACCTGTCTGGGATTGTTTCAATTACATAGCATAAAAAGGTGAAGATAAAGAGATTTAGGTAGTTTAACATTTTGTTACCTCATTTGACATGGTAAACTATGAACTCTAAGCAGATTGTAAAAAGACAGATGCATATATTATAGCCCTCCTAAACAACATCTATAAAATATATACTAAGAGATAAAGTAAAAAGTCAAAGATAAATTAAAATGTAATAACAAGAAATATTCAAGTAATCAGAAAAGAATAATGGATGGAGAAGAGAACAAAGAGAAAACTAATAATAAAATGACACATTTAAATCCAACCATGTTGATACTTACACTAAATATAAATGACCTAAATACATTAATTAAAAGCTGGAGATTGCTGAATATGATAAAATCATTAAAACAAGCAAGCTCCAAACATGTTATTACAGATTGTCATTTCAAATAATGAATGATATAGATAAATAAAAAGTAAAATGATAGGAAAAGAAATACTGTGCAAACTCTAATAAAAATACAGTTACTAGCAAATTGCTATCAGAAAAAAATAGACTCCAGTAATTATCAAGGATAAGGAGTGATATTGCATAATAATAAGAAAAAATGTCAACATGAAAAGAAGATATAATAATTCTAAATGTGTATGTACCTAAGAAGAGCGATTTTAAAATACATGAAGCGAAGGCTGATAGAACTGAAAGGAGAAAGCAACAAATACAAAATTATAGTTGGAGAATACAACACTCCAGTAACTGATAACGCAAGTATGCAAAAAATCATCAATATAGAATACTTAATGCTATCAATCAACTTGACCCATTGAACATTTATAGAATACACTACCCAAATACCAATGGAAAACATACTATTTTTCAAGTATACATGGAACATTCACCACAATAAATCACATTCTGGGTCACAAAAGAATTTAAAATAATGAAATAATTCATTCCATACATTTATGAAATAATGTTTTTTAAACATGATATAAGCCATTTGGATCAATAAAAATGTATCTGGAAAGCCTCTAAATATTTGAAATTTAAGCAGCATACTTTTAGAATTCATTGGTAAAGAAAGGAAAATTCATTGGTAAAGAAATTTCTTTACCTCCAATTTCTGGGATAATTAGAAAATGTTTTGAACTGACTGTAAATGAATATACAATATATCAAAATTTGGGGGGGTGCAGTAAAATAGTTCCTAGAAACAAATTTATATGTGAAATTCTCTTTTTAGGAAATAGTAAAGGTTTCAAATCAATAAATAAGCTTCCACCTTAAGAAACTAGAAAAAGGAAAAAGATTAGCCATCTGAACACAAATCAAGAATAAGGAGCAAAATAATAAATATAAGAACAAAACTAATAAATTTTAAAGAAAGACAAAACAATTGAGAAAACTCAATGGAGCCAGAAGCTGGTTCTTATAAAGGATCAATAAAATTGGTAAATTTATAGGTATATTTTCCAAGAGAAAAGAGAGAAGAGATACATACTAAGAATATTAGGAATGAAAAATGGGAAAACACTACAAACTTTACAGAGAAAAAAAAGAACAATAGGGGAATATAACAAGAATTTATATGTTCTGCATATAAATTAGAAACTTAGATAAAATTAATCAAGTCTTGAAAGATGAAAAGTAAAAAAAGAAAAGCAGGTAACCTGAACACTCCATGTCTATTAAAGATACTGAATTCATAGTTGCATTCC